AGGGAGGGAGGGAGGAGGAAGGAAGGAAGGAAGGAGGAAGGAAGGAAGGAAGGGAGGAAGGGAGGAAGGGAGGGAGGAAGGGAGGAAGGGAGGGAGGAAGGAAGGAAGGAATATTATTTCTTGGAGCGGACTCTCCATCTCTCATGCTTTGACAGCCGAACCTTATGATCTGATTCTCCAGTTAGCTCATCCTGTGACCTCTGTATTCTGGCATTTCTCAGATCATCGCCCCGGGGAGCTGTGCTAGCATCAGGGAYAGCTGGAGTGTGGAGGCGCCGGGCTGCATCTCCTGCGCTAGGAGGACGCCCGGGTTGCAGGCAGCCCCGCTTCTCCTCTGCCCTACGCTGTTCTTGCAAACAGTGACAACAGCCCAGCCGGCACCCAGCCCTTTCTAATCTGGATATTTGCTTCCATTTTTGGATGGCTATGGGATTTTTCTTTTCTGCTGGCCTGAAGCGGTTCGCAAGGCTGCTGTGCTCTTCCCCACAGCTGTTTCTCTTCATGCTGGACACGGCTCCATTTCAGCAGAAATTCCCACTGGTCCAGTGCCTGGCATGCTGAGCGCTGCGGGATGGGCATCTCTGCAAATGTCAGCTATTTACAGAAGTAAAGGTTTGATGCAGCCCTTGATTTCTCAGGGACACATCACAAGGGTTAAGGGGGGGTCTCCTGGGATGCCAGAGGCAGCATTGAGTTACCAGCTTCACAATGCATGAAATTCCTGTCGCTCAGGAATGAGAGCGAGGTGCTGGAGGGCAGCAAGCCCTTCCTGCTCACCCCGAGCCAGGCCATGCAGCTAGCCAGCGGCAGGGGAGGCACGTGTGATCCAGACTCCTTACATAGGGCCCATCACAGAATCATTAAGGTTGGAAGGCACCTCTGGAGATCACCTAGTCCAGCCCCCTTTGCACACACAGGGTCACTTAGAGCATGTTCATAGAATCATAGAGATCACCATCTCCGAGTCTGTTTTTTTTTTTCCTGCATGTTGCCCACGTTCAGAGTGAGGAATTCGGGAACCTTTCTCAGTTGCTCAGACATTTGGTTACCACTTAATCGCTTGCACAGAGCGGCAGCGCTGCGGGCAGCCCGGTAGGAGCTCTGCACTGGAGCTGCACTGCCTGCCTGGCTGAGCCCGGCCTGCTGGAAGCTTAAACAGCAGCTCTGCCGAGGCTGTCCTTGGAGCTGGTGGAGCACAGGAGCTGGGAGTTTAAGTCGAAGGGCCTCGGCTCCACTGCTGTCTCCAGGGATGTGGAGAGTGTGGATGTGTGACTTGCAGGTCCACAGCCTGGGGTGCCCCATGGGGAGCACCAGCAATGGCTCAGAGCAGCCTCCCTGCTCCCACTTGTCCAAATTGCCCAAGGATGGCAGGCAACTGCTCATGTCCTGCTTGCTTAAGACCATGATGGCAGTGGCTGTATAACAGAATACCTGAACTACTAAGTAAGTAGACCATTTCAAGTTCTTACCCAAAAGCAATAGAGCTGATCRTGCTGCTGTGGGTATTTACGCTCATATCCAAGCCAGGAAAGAACTCCATGCGCCAGGCAATGTGCTAGATAACCCAGCCACCAGCCCCTGGAGAAGGTCTGCTGCCCTCGTGCCACAAACACAGACTTCACAGTAACTAGTGAGCTCAGGTTCCCTGCAGGTCCATGTTCTCACAGTTTGCAGTAAATTGCTATTAACACATATAGGCAGCTTTAACTGCCTTGCTCTGTACGCACTGTGGGTGCCCGTGCAGCAAGTCCAGGGAGCACCTGCCCCATGCTGGGCGGCAAGGACTGGGGATTGCATGGGGCTGGGCCTTTCACATGGAAGGATTTCAAGGCYGGGGCCTTAGCAAACCATCCCAGCTCTAGGTCTTATTACAGCCTGYGTATGCTTTGCTCTGGCTTCCCATCTCCCTGGCCAGCTTTACTGCATGAGGGGCCTCCCAATGCCAGAAAACTGCTTCAGGGAAAGGTGGATCACAGCCTGGAGAGCACCAGGTTGTAGCCRAAGAGCAGGCAGGGAGACCTGGCACGGAGAAAGCCGCTAAGAAGACTGTTGGGTAAGCAAAGACCTACTGCAAAGACCAAGGTACTAACCAGGGTTAAGGCAGGGGCAGAGCAGAAAGCACATGCACCATGAGCCCCTTCACTTCTCTCCTACAAGCCATGTTGTAGCTGTGCACTCAGGCTCCACCAAGGGCTGTGGCTGGAGTCTGGGTGTTTGAGGGCTCCCATCAGAGCTCCATGGGCTTTGAGGGGAGTTCTAGGAGCACCAAAGAACGTGCAGACCTCTTACATGTGGGTGGTGTCATGAATTAGATATATATCATATAATGGATGAACTTGATCTTAGCAAAGCAAGAGCTGTGTGAGAGGGAAATACTGAGCAAGTTTGAGACATGATGCTCCAAGCCAGTCTGGGCTGCATCAGCCCCTTTTTGCCCAAGTTTGTCACCCTGAAGAATGCAGCCTGCCCCTACGATGTAGGCAGAGGAATCCAACTGGGAAGCAGACAGACGTGGGGCAGCTCTGGGTCTCTCCTTCCCCTCTGGAGCTCACGTTGCACTAGGGAACCAGCTGCTGCAGAGAAGGTTCAGCCCAGCCTGCCCCCTGCAACCTGGCCCCTTGCTGCAAAGTACTTGCTAAGCTGTGACACCTCCCAGCTCTCAGAAGCGCAAGCTGTCAATAAGTCCTGTGCAGAGGCAGAGCAGGTCCTTTCATGGGTTCCTTTCTCCTCTTCACCATGGTGGGCTGCAGAGACCCTCCACAGACCTGAAAAGGGCTCCCGGAGGGCAGGAGCAACTAGCTGAGGCTCTGCTGAGCCGCGAAGGGAGGCAGCAGCTTTCCAGGAGTGAGGAGAGCCGGCAGGGAAGGAGAAGATGGGAGGCACGAGGTAGCTTCCCTCCACGTCCAGCGCTTCTCCTCAGTGCCGAGGAGCAGCAGCAACAGATCTGCTCACTCTAAGCAACATCTTTGTCACACACATATCTCGTCATGCCCAAGCCTGCCTGGGGGGCACTGCAGGCACTGTCTCAGGGTGACAACCGTCCCCTGGTCCCCAGGGTTCCCCCCTCATCTCCCACTACCCCACAGCACCAGGGTGCGCTCTGAGATGGGTGCGGATGCCACCCACATATGGCACCKCAGGGCATGCCGGACACACTGGCTGCGTTCACACGCACGTCCCCAAGCCCGCGGCATCCCGTCCTCAGGCCATCAGCAGCACGGGGCAGAGAGGGGCAGGGGTGGCAGGAGGCTTCGCGCCCAGGCAGTACCTGCCAGGCAGCCCCTCCAGCGCCAGCCGCGCCATCGCTGGGGCTGTTAATGAAAATCTTCTGACCAGTGACCTCAGGATGCGGCAGGGGCTTGAAAGTGAGAGGGAAATGTCAAACTCTGCTGTAGCAAAATCACCGCCTTGGAAAAAAAAAAAAAAAAAAAAAAGAAGAAAAAAAAAAAAGCAAGAAGTAATATATCTTGATCCCTTTTCCCCCATAAAACCCTGGGAGGCTGGTGGAAGGAGCGGAAAGACTGAGCTAAGCCTGCAGGAAATTAAACATGAAATGAAAACAAGCTCAAGTTATTCAATTCTCTCATCCCAGGCTCCAATTTCCCATTCCAGGCCACTGATAAAATGGTGTCCAGTTTCAACGCTGGAGGATGAATTCTGGCTCTGTTCTTGCAGGCTGGAGAGCGAAGGGCCTGTGGCCATCTCCGGGAGAAGGGGAGATGGCCCGGCCTTCAGCAGCGGGACGGGGGCTTGGAGACACACAGGCAGASGGGCTGGGGCAGCGGAGGTGGCAGTGGGGCTGGCGGGAGCAGTGGGGCTGAGCGGGCAGCAGGATGGGGACCCACAGCCAGCGGCCACCGCAGGAGCTGGGCGCTGGGTGCCTCCCTGTCCGATCTCTCCCATCCCAGCTTTGAGAACTATGCGTGTGTGTGTGTGTGTGTGTGTGTATGTTTTGTTTTGCTTTGATTTGTTCTGAACTTGGAGGAAGGACTAAAGCAATGTGCGGTTCCTGTGCGTCCAGCAAAGGCAGGTCTGGGGGAGGCCCAGCTCGGAGCCCGAGCGCGGAGGGATGTGGGAGGCAGGGGAAGCCAGCGGTACTGGAGGCTCCCCCTTTCTTTCCTGCGGCCTCTCCAACCCCCCCAGCATGTCAGATGTGCAAGCACATGGGTTTGGGTACTGGCATATGGCTGCATGTTTACGGAGACATGAAACATTTTCGGAGCTGTAGATTTTTATAGGACTGATTTGGTACATCAGGTCTTATCAAAGCTGTGTCTGCAGGAGTCAGACATATGACATTAGCCTGCTCTCCAGCTCCAGTTGTTAGCAGAGAGATGCAACCGGCAAGGACTGCTTATCCTGGTGTGAAATACCTCGTCCTGACCCCAGAGGACACACTGCACCGAGCGCTGCAGCCTCTCCGGCCGCACTGTCCTCCTGCAGCTCCATCCCACCATGGAAGGTGGCTGGCAGCAAAAAGAAAACGGGAATTTACTGWATGTGCTTTCTAAACACAGTGTCTCCTAAGACTGAGGAAGCCAGCAAAGATTTTAAAACTAATGGGTTTTTTGCTGACATCCTTGTTTCGTACATTGCTCTGTTTCCCTGCCACTGCCAAGGACTGGGGAGGCCCTGCTGTAAGACACCCTGTGCAGCTTGGGCCAGAGGAGAYGTGATCATTCTAAAAAGAGGTCCAAAACTTGCTGCAAGTGCTTTGGATCAGCAGGTCACTGCCAGCTCCCCAGCTTCGAAGCCCCCTGGGCATCAGTCTCTTGACTGCAGCCACTTCTCACCTTCCTCCCGACACGGCTCTGTGGCTGATTTGCCGGCACTGTAGGGACTGCACTAGGGAGCCGGTTTAAAGCCTGTGGTTTTGCCAGCACCAGCTGAACTCAGAGCCTGTGAAGGGCAGAGCAGAAATCCCGCTGCTGCCCGTCAGTCTCCCGCGCAAGGAGACCGTGTTGCTGCCTTTGCCGGCGACGGGTTGCAAAGCCAGGCCCGGCCACGCAGGGAGGGCCCGTGCACGCTGGGCACGCGTTGTCCCCAGCCTGCRCGCTCCTACCTGCTCCCCGGCACACGGCAGGGTCCCGCTCCGTGCGGGAGCCGGGTCAGCGCCGCCGGCTAGTGTGGAGCCTGCAGATCCAAGGCGGCGGCGCYGGCACTGCCGCGCAGCTGGGCCGCCGCTGTGCCAAGGGTTGGAGGCAGGCAGGGGCCGGGGGACACCCGGCTCCGTGTGCCGCGCCGCCCTCGGCTCCGCGGCCCCTCTGCGGCTCTTGGAGCGCGGCCYGAGCACGCTGGGCTCGTGGGGTGGCTGCCTGCGAAGGGCTCARTCCAACGCAATGGAGACAAACAGCTTCTCTGCAGCAAGCTCAGGGGTCTGCTCCGCTCCTGAGCCACAAAATCCCTGCCTATCCCACCCGGCCTGGGTGCCTGGCTGTGCCAGCATGTGCTGCAAAAGGCTGTTTCAGTGCATGCTGCAAATGCTGCCCCTCTCCCATCCCCAAAGCCTGGCCCTCCTCGGCCCTGGGTATCCAGTCCAGCAGTCCGGAGCAGTGTCCGGGATCGGCAGCTGCCGCGAGGCGCAGGGCTGCCCATCGGGGCCGGCCAGGGCGAGCTGCCCGCCAGCGGGGCGGCCCTTCCTCCCGCATCGCCGTGCAAAAGCCAAAGCAGACGCGAGCGCTCCCCGCGCACCGGCGTGACCCCCAGCCCCCGGCGACCGCGCGCGCCTCGGCGGCCCTTCAAAGCCGCGCGTGATTGATGTGCTTCCCTGGCTCGCAGGCTCGAGGAGGCTTTGAAGACACTGCGCCACGCTCTGATCTCTCTTACGCTGATGCAAATCAGGAGCAGTGGTGCTGACAACACTGCAGTAATCCACACTGATGTCCAGCCAGTAAAAATAAGAGCGGAAAGAGTGGTTTGGTCCTTCCTCTGCCTTGAAGGGGTCTGAACAATTGAGTGTGAAGCAGAGAAGTCTACAAAGTAACATGGGTGCAACACAGAGGACACACAGCTCTGCAGAAGGGTGCTTGTGTTTTCCTGAGTCTAGGAAGAGAAATGCTCTTCCTTTTTTTCTTCTTTTATTTTTTTTTAATAATTAGGAAAAAATGAGGTGTAGAGATCAGTGATAATCTCTCAGCCAACAGCACTGCCATGATGAGCATTCAAACCCCAGAGGTTTCCATCCATGAAACATGAGGAAAAAGCTTCTCTGTTGTGAKGGTGGTTGAGCACTGGGCAGGTTGCCCGGAGAGGATGTGGGGGGGGATCTCCATCCTTGGGGATGCTCCGAGTCGGCCTGGACACGGCGCTGGGCCACGTGCGGAGGGYGAACCTGCTAGCGGGGTCTGGGTGCGCGGTGCGGGGGCCCGCGGGGCGGCGGGCGCCGCTCACGGCGCTGCTCTCGCCCTCGCCCAGGTGTGGTTTCAGAACCGGCGAGCCAAGTGGCGCAAGCGGGAGCGCTTCGGCCAGATGCAGCAGGTCCGCACGCACTTCTCCACCGCCTACGAGCTGCCCCTGCTCACGCGCGCCGAGAACTACGCCCAGGTGAGCGCCCCRGCCCGGCCCTCGCGCCCCTCCTGCCGCCTGCCTCCGCCAGCCCTGCAAAAACCACAGCACAGCTCCGAGCGGGGAGCGATCCCATCGGGTGTGGGGTGCGCGGTGTGGCTGCCCGGGGAAGGAAGGGCCCTGGCTCTCCCCGCCGCTCAGCCCCGCTTTCATCCCGCGTGTCCTCTCGCCTCCGCCGACCCCTTCCCCTGCCATGGAGGGTGAGATGGGTGCTCAGCCGCCCCTCCTGTCCGGCCCACAGCGGCTTTAATCGCACAGGGCATCTGTGCTGAGCTCCAAAGTGCCCTGGACTAAAAAGGAAAAGACAAGTGGGCAGGAGCGGGGAACGGATGAACGGAGACAGCACCTCCAGCGGCGCTGCCCAGCTTCCCCTGTGCCAGTCCCCTGCACTACCTCCCTCCACTGCAGCCGCATAAGGATTTTGGTGGCCAAGGGTGCAGGGGACGGGGCCTCGGTGGCGGCATTGGGGTGACCTGGGCAGGTCACCGACACCYGCACGCAGTGCGCTGCGAGCTCGGTGCCATGGCGGGTTGCAAGGCCTGTCAAGCCCTGCCCGTCAAGCGGGTTGATCCAGAAGGGAGAGATGAGAGGCTCCCAGCCATCCTTCATTGCTCCTTTTTCTTCAGTGTGAGCTGCTCTTTGGGCCCCTCTCCTTTGGTCTGTGGGCATCCCGCTAGGGTACCACGTGCCTCATGAGCCTGGGGTGCCATGGGAGCTGCTGTTTGGTTGTGCCCAGGGCACCACGTCCAGGGCACTAGCATGTGGGGTGACCCAGGAGCTGGGAGAAGCGGGGTGCCCCAGGAGGCTTCTCCACGTCCCTGAGGCTTCTTTTCCCCCCGCCAGATCCAGAACCCCTCCTGGATCGGCAACAACGGCGCCGCCTCCCCCGTGCCCGCCTGCGTGGTGCCCTGCGACACGGTGCCCTCCTGCATGTCCCCGCACGCCCACCCRCACGCGCCCGGCGGCGTCTCCGACTTCCTCAGCGTCTCCGGCGGCGGCGGCCACGTGGGACAGACTCACATGGGCAGCCTCTTCGGCACGGCCGGCATCAGCGCGGGCCTCAACGGCTACGAGCTCAACAGCGAGCCGGACCGCAAGACGTCGAGCATCGCGGCGCTGCGGATGAAGGCGAAGGAGCACAGCGCCGCCATCTCCTGGGCCACATGACAGGGTTGCGAGCCAGTCCCKCGAGACACGCGGCGCCCGGGAACACCCCTCCGCTCGGACTCCAGACRGCCCTTTCCTCCGTGGGGATCTGAATGCAGCACTTTTAGCTACCCTAGGTATATAAAGTACATATGTTAACGCAAGTGGAGGGTTGCCAGCAGGAAAAGAGGGAAGACGCAGCTTCCTGGGGTCAGGTGGGGAAAGGGAAGCCGTGGAGCAGCAGCTCTTCCAGCGAGGCTTGGATCGGGATGCCTGCCACGTCCCCGTCACCTTCCCAGGGAGCCGGGCAATTTTCTCCCCACTCCTTTCCCTGACACCAGAGCTGCCTGTGCACACAGCCCGGTCCCGCTGGCCTTTGCAGCGGGCTCCCCCGTGTCCCACACACACACACACACCACACACACGCACGCCTTCCCCTCCCAGTTGGTCAGCAGCGCTGCTCGGTTCGGCCCGGGACAGGGCACGGGATGGGGACACTGGCACCAGCAAAGAGGCCTGGCCCTCTGGCCCTCTCTGAGAGGAAACGCTCCCTCTGGCTTTTACTGGGACAGGGGCCCGGCGGGGACAGCGGCTGCGCAAACCCACAGGTCCCCAGAGAGGCAGGAGCCCCCTCGGGGGAGCAGCTCACAGCTGGGCTTGCACGAGGGCACCAAACACCCCTTGTCCTGGGGTCTCGGCACTTGCAACCTGCCCTTCCTCGCCACCCTCAGCTCCGGGCACCGCTGYGTGGGGTGGCTACGGGCATTGTCCCACCTCGTGCCCCCTTGGATCCTTTTCCCCCTCTGCAGGAAACCCAAGAACTGCCCTGGCTTCTATGAGTCCTCATCCCCTCCTGAGTGTCCCGCCACGGGCTCTCACCCGTCCCCTACTGCAGCGCGGGGCGACRTCTCCTCTGCAAGGCTAGGTGTTCTCCAAGCTCCCCGGAGATCTCGCAACGCTAGGATCGTTTCAGAATTTCCTCTTAGTTCACTGAATTACCACTACACAGAGGCTGATGGTCATCTGAGCACCAGCACCYGCCCAGCCTAGAAAGGGAATAACAAGACTTTACCCCCATAAAAGACAAACATGTGTCACCTTGTCCTCCCCGCTCAGGCTCAGTATTAGGGGGCCTTGGAGTCCAGGAATATTTAGTGGCCTTACAAAAGGCTTCAAATAAGCTACAACAAAATAGCAGGTTTCAGGTTACTGTATACAGCATAAAAATATTTCTATAGTGCCTAGACATTGCCGTGCGCTACATGAATGATACACCATTGCTAGATTAAATGTAATATATATATTTATTGGCGTAAGCAAAGACCAGTAGTACTGTCTCTTTTCTGTCCTCAGAGCTCCTAAGAGATGCCTTGCTTGGCACTTGCAGAGAATCAGCATGCCTCTGACCATGCACAAGAACAGGATTTACAGCCAACCCAAACCTTTAGCTGCATAATTGGGCRTGATGTTTTGGGTGCTGAAAATTACGCTGATCACTGTGTCAGTCAGCAACACTGGCTACACCTCTGTTGTTTTTGCTTGCATGCGATGACAGCAATATTACAGCTTAAATTGCATTTAAACACCGAGTGCTTCCTTACCTCCACCAGCAGCCCACGCTTCCTTCTGTTAGGATAAAAAGCCCTTTTTGGAGGACCGAAGGGAAAGGTGTTTCACAGCCCAGAGCCCAGAGCCAGGCAGCTGGGAGCTGCACACAGGACATGCAGGACCTGCTCACCTGGGAAGGCTGTGCAGGATCCATGGGGAGATGTTTCCTCACTGACTCCATAGGGCCCGGATTCTGCCCGAGCTGTTTAGCAGCCCGTGGCATTAAGCCCTGCATCCCCGCCTTGCCAGCGGGACAGGAGCCTCTTCCAGCGCTAGCRGAGTTTGGCCGCGGCTTTCACTCGCCATGGGGCCCATGTGCACAGCACATGTGGGCCCCGCCGGCTCCGTGTTAGACGTGCCCACACGTGCCCAGCCCGAGGGCCTCGCGGGGCCAGCGGGGCCCGTGGCTCCCGCCGCCCCCGAAGCAGCTTCTCGGCTGCCTGCGTCTGCATTTACACGCCCCCGTTGCTCTCTAAATTCATTAGAAAGGTTTAAAAAACAGCCATTAAATTAACGAGACAAACTCTGTAAATACCCCTGCTTATAATATCAATCTTAATCTAGCCAGCCTGCGGTTACTGCATTTCTCAAGGGTCACAGGGTCAGTGCTGTTCTTGCAGTCTCGAGTCACCGCAGCGACGCTTCTTTTAATTATTATTATTTTAATACGTTTCAACTCTATTTATAACTTTTTTTGGGTTTTTTTTTTTTTTTTTGGCTATTTATTTCTTAGTTAGTGTTTCACTCCCGTCCATCCACACGCTCGCGCTTCCCCGGCTCCGGCTTCCCTGCAGCGCTGCTCCCCCAACACCTCCGTCCCCCTTGGCGGGGCAAAGCACCCCGCAGAAGCACAGGGCCACAAAGGAAGTTTCCTGGAAAGAGGCTTGAAACCCGAGTGCAGAAATTAAACCCCGACGGGGAGAGGGGCCAATCCCGACTGGAAGTCCTTGGGCGCGCGGTGCTGAGGGTGCCGCGGGAAGCGYGGAGCCCCCCGCTAACTCTTTGCTGGTTCCACGATCCCCCACTCGCCCCGCATAGCTAGGTAGGTAGGTAGAGCTAGGACTTTTATACTACTGATTTTGAAGGACAGTTTTCAATGTGTAATAATATATCGGTTTAGGTGTGCAGTGTTTGAAAGAGAGCCTGGGAGAAGGAACGAAAACGAACCTCAATCAATACTAGTGTTTTTGTTGTAAAATATTGTAACCTTGTATAAACGCAAACTGTTGGTTTTTTTTTTTTTTTTCTTTAGCTTAATGGCCTGGGGTAGAACATATTAAAAAAAAAAAGTTTCAAAAAGTTCAGGAAAAAATAGAATAAAAAAAATATTAAAAATGTTACCATGTGAGGTTTGCGCCATGCAATGTTAATGCCTATGCAGCCATGTATTACCAGCTCATTACAGTGGATATTAAAGAACAAACAATCTTGAAGCTTGTTTTTTTTTTTTTAATCTTTTTTTTTGGTGAATTAACTTATTGCACTTGCAGCATTTCTTTTTTTTTCCCTTTTTTTCCCTTTTTTTTTTTTTTTTGGCTTTTTTGTGGGTAGGGGTTGGCATTTCTGTGCACCATTTTTTTTTCTTTTTTTTTTCTTTTTTTTTTTCTTTTTTATTTTAAAGGAGTGAAATTGCTGGGAAGGAAGCTGCTTCCAGGCCGCCCTGGCTGAGGAGACCCGAACGCTGTTGTTGTTGTTTTGGTTTGCAATAAACTCCTTCTCTTCTCCCTTTCTCAACTGGGATCTGTCTGGTTTGTTCCTGACTCATGACAGATGAAATGTGATCAGAGGGGCCTCCAAAATCTCACGTTAATTGAAGTTGGCAAAAAATACTAACAGTGCCCTTTTGAACTGCTGACACAGTGCAGGATGGATTAGCYGGGGGTAGATTAACAACAGGTGGCAGCTCACGGGCCGCTGCCTCTCCCAGCACAAAGGGCCGGGAGCAGCCGGCGCGGGAAGGGCCCGCGATCCCATGCCCGGCCGAGGGGCGGACTGGAGCACATGGAAGACCTGGGGGGACCAGTGGGTCCTGGGGGGACCAGCAGGTCCTTTTCCCCAGTACCCACCTCAGCCGGGACGGCCTTTCTCGGCGCAGCGCTGGCAACACAGCCTGGCAAGCTCCCGGGATCCTCCGGATCCGGCTTGCACCCATGCGGATCTGCGGAGGCGCCCGGAGCAGCAGAGCTCCCGGCGCCTCTCCCTCGGCGTTGCCGGGAGCACCGGCTCGGCTCCGACGGAGCGTGGCTGCTTGCCAGCCCCCCGYGCCGCGGAGAGCGCAGGTGCTGCTSTGCGCCTGTCCAGCCCGCTCACTGGCGGGAGGAAAATTCCTGCCCTCCCCGCGCGCTCAAAGCCACATTCTCCAGATGTTGGCAAAGCCCCGGCTGCTAACAGCCCAAAGCCAGTTTCGGCCTGGTGCTTGGGGTTTGCATCAGAAATTGCTCMTGATTGGGAAGTTGCCAGGAAAGGATGTGACTCCTGGACCACCGGCTTTACCTGCACCGGGGTCAGTGGTCTTGCACTTACCAGCACTTAACCAAAGGGCWGCATTCGCTCACCCGTATGAGTGAAGAAGATACCAAAGTTAGCTGGAAAGTCTCTCCATAACCTTTAGATGGTGTCAGAACCCAGACTAAATCTCTGCACTCTTTTGCCTAAACTACACTTTCCTAATGAGATTACACTTTCCTAATGGGATTAAAAAGCATTAAGAAATTTCCCACTGGGAGATGTGGCCACAGCGCCTGAGTTAACATGTTCCTTCTCCACTGGAGAGCACCACGGGGCAACGTTCAGGCAGTTTTAATGAAAAACCATCTTTTTCTTCCTGTAAACTAAACAGATTTGCCTTTTTTCCCTCCTATTTTTAAAAGCAGGCTATGAACCTTTAAGCAGATGGATGCACAATAATCTTCCCACTGGCAAGCAGGCAAAAGCCACGCAAGGTGCATCTATTCACGGCCAGATGGAGCCCACATGTAAAGGTGTTGCATTTAATCTGAGACAACAAGTGTTTATTATTTGTGAAAGGGTCTTCCACTTTCTCCTGCTTTTCAGTTCATAACTTACTCGCCAGGCAAGGCCAGATGCTCCGAGTCAGCAACGCGTCCCGGCCGAATTCCTGGAGCTCGTTTTCCGCGTGCAGCCCCGCTCCATATGAAGTGTGGCAGATGGGGCATTGCTCCCTGTCCCTGCTYGGCTGCAGGCGCCCAGGGTGGACCAAGGGGAGGCACAGCTGAGATCTGCCCTTCCCCTCTGCAGGAAGATACTAAAAAACAGGGACTCTTGCATTTTGGGGCAACCAGAGCATCAGAAAAGAAAATAACATTTTTTTTTGTGAGGAAAAGGCTCTGTGATCCCACAGGAAATAAGAATTGCGTGAAGCCTTTGGCCCCAAAGCCTCAGGTGTCTTTCCA